AAAAAGTGGGGACGCAACTTTAAAATCTTATGAAACATGCATGTGTCATTAAAAAACAATTTTGCTTTGATAGGAGATATTATTAAGTGTTGCTTTTGATAAAACAAGCTCTTTTTCATCATTAAAAAAAATCATTCATTGCATATGAATGCTTGAACCCTTCTCGGTGGACACACTGTTTCAGATGTAGCGAGAGGACATTAAGAAACATAGATTTGGTATAATAATGAGAAAATTAAATTGAAGGTGATAATGGTGTTAAATAAATTCTATTATTAATCCATCATGACCTTTACAATTTAAAATATTGTTGTTTTTAAACCAAATAGCAGTTACCCTTGCTGGACCTGTTTTCTCCCACGTCTCAAGAATGGTCTATGAAACATAAAAGTAGTCATCATTACTTGTGAGTCAACGGTAGCCTATAATAACTTTGTGTGAGGAACAGAAAGATTAGGCTATTCATTAGTTATCAGTAATCATTATTTCCTGATAAGCTTCCCCTTCTGTAAAGCTCTGAAAGCTCATTTGTGTTCAGATTCAAAAATGGCACGTCATGCGAAGATTAATAGATCAGTAAGAACTGTTGTGGAATGAAAAATAGCTGCAATAACGACTCTTCAAAAATCCACTATATGCTTCAAAGTAGACTTGTGCCGGTATTCGGTAATGCGATATATCACGGTAATGAATGTGCACGGTATTGTTATCGTGGGCACTTCTAAATACCGTGAATAATTATATATGACAAATTATTCCGAATTTTGAATGCATTTTAAGAATACGTTTCCCATCAACTGGTCAAAATGCACAACACCGCTGTATGCTGCGTGAAAGACGCGTGCGCACTCTGATGTAAACAAGCGCGGACGAGAAGCGCACGGCGGAACATGAAAGCGCACTTTCACTCACAGCAGATGGCGTTAAACTGCAGAAATAATAATAATAATAATAATAATAACTAATTTAAATGCAGCCGTTACCCCGGAAACCCTGTAAACAAAGCAGCTGCACTACTTTCTGTTTCTGAATTGTGTTTAAATGATTTAAACAGCCATTCAGATTTGTGTATTTGCTATGATGTTCATCACCGCGCCACATACTTCAATATTTAGACTTAATAGGCTATTTATTTTCAATCTTTTTTTACATTTTAATCTGGACTACAACATGCCCTAGATATTGTTTGAAAGTGTTTTGATTCTTTATTGTTCGGTCACACTTTACATTAGGGCTTCATTAGTTAACATTAGTTAATTCATTAGTTAACATAAACTGCCAATGAAAAATTCTTCTGAACATTCATTCATCTTAGGTAATTACAATATTTAATAACACGTTGTTAAAATCGAAAGTTGCAACTGTGCTATTTAATGAGCTAACATGAACTGAGACTTAACTACTAATTGATAACTTCTGTAGCAAATGTAGCTATTGCTCGTTGTGAATGTTAATGCATGAACTAAGGTTAATTAATGAGGTCTTATTGTAAAGTGAGACCTATATGGTCTTTATAGTTCTTTTGCACTTTAATAAGTGTAAAATGTTTCTGTATTGCTTTATTGCATTTAAATGTTCAGTTATTTTTGTTATAAGAGAAAAGTTATTAAACCTGGTATACCGTATTGTGACAGCACTTTTTTTAAAACTAAATTTCAATATCGTGATAATACCGTATACCGCGATAAAAGCATAAGCAATTAATCGCAACATGAACATTTGATAACGGCACATCCCTATTTCAAAGCCTTCACACCTTAAAATACTGCCTGTGTAGGGCGCTTACTAGAGAAATAACAACATGCAGGGGTTGTGAGGGACAATTATTACAAATCCATGTGAGGGGGCGTGGCTTGTCGCCAGGGAAACAGCAGGGACACTTTTGCATGAGTCAGCAGAAAAGTTTTCCAGCTCGCGCGGCTGATTTCCGCTTCCGTCTCTGCTGCTGCTGCTGCTGCTGGACTCTGAAGGAAAGATGGCGGCGGCCGAGACCGATCGCGATGTACCGTCCGCGCTGTGTAGCGAATTCCTCAATTTCTCCGCAAAGGACACCGCTGCGGTAGGCGACAGTTTCATAAAGACTCTCTCAAATGTCTCTCCTGATGAATTATATGCCTTTGTTTGCCGTAATCGATGCGCTGGCGATACATTTTCTGTTTTTCTCGCTCCCCGTCTCGGGTTGTTTTGCTCAGTGTCGTTCTGCTAGCGCGCTAACAGCTAGCCTGTGAGATGTGCACGCCTCGAGCTCCAAAACACGCACTTGGCACTCCGAATATTTATTTAACATAGCTGCAAGTCAAACATTCTTTCGTTTCTCGCGTTTTGGGTTTAACTCGTGGCTTTGCTGACAAAGATATCGCCGTTCAAAGAGATCTGTCAAGAGTTGGATCAAAACAACTGGCTGCTTTGTTCATCGTCTGTACGTGATGTAACGCTAGTTTATGGTGTAATTAACATGGCCTCACAAACAGCTCTTTTAACAGTGTTAAAACGGATCTAGGCAAGCACACAGTAAAACAGAGCTTGGCAGTTTGTAAAAACATCAGTGTACGCTGTATTTCTGGTTACTGTCTTTGTGTAGCAGGTGTTGTGGTTTACAATCTAAACATTAATTTTATAGCCCAGTTACATGCGTTTCATTTTGTAAATTGGCTAAGCCACTACATTTACATGCCACATCTATCTCAAAAACAAGTAGCTCAGATGGTGGTTGTATTGAACCCCATGCAAGACAATGCA